TTCTTCTTCTTCTTCTTCTTCTTCTTCTTCTTCTTCTTCTTCTTCTTCTTCTTCTTCTTCTTCTTCTTCTTCTTCTTCTTCTTCTTCTTCAAATTTATCATTATTGTCCCTCATCGCCACTATTTAGTTCATTCAAGAGGTAACTGGAGACAGTTTCAAAACTAGTTAATTGCACGTAACCTACAACATTGTCCCATCTTCAGGCGTGAGCAAGTCCGACATAGAGCGTCTTCTTGGTGAGTCGTATCTCCTGCAACAAGCCGAGGACCTGGAGGACACAGATGCTACAGAGGACATGGGGGACATAGAAGACATCGGGGAACAACGAGAGGTGTCCTCACTCTTCCTGAAGAACGCTGGTAAGTCAGAGGGACATCGGTTTCTTCCCAATGACATTTTTCTTTTTGGTTTTTTCGTTCGTTCGTTCGTGTGTTCGTTTGTTGTTTGTTTGTTTGAGTAAAGAGAAGCACGCATTAGGCGCACTAATACAATTAGTTACTTCTGGGATCTTGGCCTTGTAAAAATAATTAAGTCAAATTGGTAGATCGATTTTGTATAGTGAATTAGAGTTAAATGTGAGATGTGCTGACTAAATGAGTTACTTCCCGGATTCAAGCCTTACGGAAATAGATACTTCCCACTTATTATTTGTGAAGTTTTTACAATTCATAAGTATGAAATATCAAGAGGCATGTTATACATAAGGAATAGGGCATCTATAGAAAATATAATTTGATCTTAGAGTGTTGATTTTTGGCCAATATCTCCCTTTGTGGATTGCGAGAAGTAACTCATTTTGCCAGCACGCTTCACAAATTATAAAAGCAGTGTTAACCAACATGAAAAAATGTCTTAAGTTGAAAATTTGTAATTAGGCCTTTGGTATCGATTTTTCAACCTATAGCTCCCCCATTCCTTGATTTTAAGAAGTAACTCATTATGTCAGTGCTTTTCACACACCGACACAGTAATGCTGAGGTACGAAAGAGAATCACCAACGCGGTGGGGCAGCATGAAGATCTTCTGACCACATTGAAGAGACGAAAATTAAGACGGTATGGGCATGTCACAAAATCCACAGGGCTTGCCAAAACAACCCGCAAGGAACCGTACCTGTAAAGAGAAAGAGAGGAAGGCAGAGAAGGAGATGGGAGGACAACTTTACAGACTGGGCAGGAAAGACGATGGGTGACAATCTGAGGAAAGTAGAGGACAGAAATAGATGTCGAGAGCTGGTTGTCAGATGCAGTGGTGCCCCCACGGTTGCCCCAACCACGGGATAGAAGAAGAACAAAAAGTGCTGGGGCAAAAGGAAAACAGACAGACAGACAGAAGCAACAGAGGGAAAGTAAAGAAGTAGGACCTGCCAGTGGTGCCCTCAAACCACCCGCATTCAGTGAATTGTTTATTACTTACTTAATGCCAGTCATTTTCAGAACCACCAGGAATAGAGAATTGGGCTTCTCTGGCCACATATTAGATTATGTCTTTTTATGAATAAGCAGGAAGAGCCAATTGAGATCATGTGACCACGTAAATAGACCAAATTAGTTTAGTTTTAGTAGAGGTTTTACGGCGCTCGCAACTGAATAATGTCAAATGAGCGCCCGAGGATTAGGGGTGTTACAAGAGAGTAACAAACATAAAAAAGAAGAAGGGGAGAAAAGAATGATATATGTTTGATAGGAAAGAGAAGCAAACCACACCAGAGCGCTCGCGAACCACCCACAGACCAAATTATGGACTAAATACTTTTGATACTTATTTAAAACTACAGGTTGTGTCTTTTTATAAACTACCAGGAAGAGAAAATTCAGGTCATTATAATCACAGAAATAGAATAAAATATGGACTTAAGTTAATACTCACTTAATACAACAGATTGTGTTTATAAACAACCGCACTGGCGGGAAGAGACAATATTATTGTGATCCTGTGGCCATACAAATAGAACTATAAGCCTGCTTAAGAAATTGCTACTTCGGGGGAAAGATGCGGAGAAAGAAGAGTGGAGGAAGACAGAGAACAGCTTAATATTATACAAAGATGGCCGGAATAGCTTTTTGATAACAATACAATGAGAAGAACGGAGTTGATCAGATGGACTGACAACAAGGAAGGAACGTGTAACCATGAACGCCATTGTCTGTCCAGACAAGGTGCGTGAAAAAGATGTAATGTGTAATGTTCAGGTCAGAGAAGTAGACCTCCTACCCCTCTTTTGTGGATCCTTACTCTTAAATTTCTCAATTACCCC